CCCCCAAAAAAAAAAAAAACAGATAGAAACCAGACAAACCAGTCGCAGAAAAACGCACCCCAGAACAAAAGTAGATGCGGTCGTCGCGAAGTGGGACAGGTGCGACCTGCTGGTGCTCCCTCCGCCTGGGGTAGTAGATAAGATTGAAGTTAGGAACCCCCCCCCCCCCCCCCCAGCCTCGATGCAGACCTCCTCGCCCGCACTCCGGCCTACCTGAGCCCGCTCAAGGAGCGCGAGCTCGACCTCCGCGGCCACAAGATCCCCGCCATCGAGAACCTCGCAGTCACGCGCGACCAACTCGACTCGCTCGACCTCACCGACAACAACATCCACCAGCTCGCAAACTTTCCCCTCTTGCGCCGCCTCTCGCAGCTCGTCCTCGCCAACAACCCGGTCCGCTCCCTGTCGCCCTCGGTCCCGACCGCCCTCCCCAACCTCCGCACCCTCGTCCTCCTCAACTCGGCCTTCCCAAAGGACGCCCTCGCCACCTTGGGCCACACCCTCGCCCAGTGCCGCAAGCTCGAGCACCTCGTCGTCCGCGGCGCACCCGTCGCCACCGCCGACCACTACAAGGACTGGCTCGTGTACCGCCTCGCCCACCTGCGCTCGCTCGACTACGAGCGCGTCACCCTCCGCGACCGACAGCACGCCAAGTCTTTGTTCGAGACCCCCTCGGGCGACCCGACCGAGCTCCACACGGCCTTCCTCGCCGCCGCCGCCCAGGGCGCCCAGGGCGCCGCCCCCTCGCTCGTCCCGACCGGCGGCGCGCGCACGTTCGAGCCGGGCGTCGAGCCGACCGAGGCGGCCGCCGCGGGCAAGGCCGGCAGGCTCCTCACCCGCGACGAGAAGGACCGCGTCCGCAAGGCGATCGAGGGTGCCGAGAGCGTCGAGGAGGTGCGTCCCCCCTCTCTCTCTCGTTCTTGAAGGTCCTGCCCGCTCTCGCAGTGTCGAGCGACATTGTGGAGCGTGTGGGTGACCAGCTTGATGATCGATGGACTGACTCGCACCCTTGTCCTCCTTGCGCACCAACAGATCCGCCGGTTGCAGCGCATGCTCGCGCAGGGCTTCGTGTGCGTCCTCTCGCTCGCTCGCTCCCTCCCTGCCTCGCGCCCTCTCGACACACGACACGTCCTGACGCACCTTGGTCGTTCCCCTCGTCGCCCACCTCGCGCGCAGCCCGACCGAGAAGGACCTGCGGGACCTCGACAAGCAGAAGCGCGCCAAGCCGGCAAACGGCGACGCCATGCGCGAGTAGCGCACTCGCGCCCATGTGGTCGAGCGACGACGAGGAGCGTCCGTGTGTACGACAGAGCGGGGCCAGCAGGGTCGAGCGGGGCGAGCGGGCGAAAAGCGGCGAGCTCAGCCGCGTGGCACGGTGGGAGGGAGCGAGGTGCCTCGAGCGGGACGAGGCGTTGTACTGTAACATCTCTTCGACGCTGTGACTGTGGCCTTGCGCTCGAGAGAACGAGAGCCGGGCGCCCTTAGCTTTTGGCGGCATAGCAAATCGCTATTGAGATCTGGTTGACTTTGGAGGAGGTGCACCGCCCCTCGTCCTCATCACCAATGCTCTCTGCCGCCGCTAGCTCGCCTCGCAGGGCAGCGTGCTCTCTGCACCGTGTACTGTGTCGCCCCAGCAGCACCGCCAGCACAGCGGCCGCACCACCGAGCGAGCCACCTCGTGCCGCACCTCGACCTCGACTCAGGTCGCTCGCCAGCCTCGAACCGGCCGCACACCGCCTCGCAGTGCGTCCCTGTCCTCGTCCAGTCCTGCAGAGAGCACTATCTGACCCTCAAGGACCCCTCCCGCAGTTCCGATCCCTTCCCTACGCCGCCCCACCTCACCTCGTCGCCCCCTCGTCCTCGCACCTGACGCACCACGCCGCGCCTTACTTCTCCCTGCGGTGCTTCCCCTCGGTCCCGCGCTCGACGACCAAACCCCCCCTGTTCGGCGACCGCCAGCACCCACGCGCCAAGACCGAGAGCGTCCACCCGGTCGGCTTCCTGCGCGGCCGCACCGCCTGGCTTCCCTCGTCCCTCGACTCGCCCAACCCGCCCACCGACCCGTTCCTGTCCCCCGCGGCCCTGCGCGCCTCGCTCGCCCGCGCTGCCCGCGCCTCGCGCGCCAAGCCCTACACGCTCGACCTCACCCTGTTTGCGAGCAAGAAGCGCGTCCACAAGAGCGCCGTCGTGCGCGAGCGGTGCAAGCGGCGCGTGCGCGAGGCGATCCGGCTCGTCGTCGTGCGCGGTGCGAGGGCCGCGAGCGAGGGCGACGAGGGGCAGGCGGTCGGCGAGGGACTCGTCAGGAGGGAGGAGGACGTGCGCGAGACGGGGCCGAGAAAGTGGCTCGTGCCAGGTGCGTCCCGCCCGGCTCTCGCAGGATCAGATCAAGAGCAGTGACTGACACGTCCTCGCATCGGCAGGGCACCACTACATCATGTCGCTCACGCTCGAGGTCTACCGAGCGCCCCTGCCCGTCCTCGTCGAGCAGCTGCGCACCGCTCTGCGCGCGCTCAAGGTGCGTCGCTCTGTCTCTCCCTTATCCTTCCTTCTCCGCGTCTTCTGAAACGGGCGCTCACTCTGACTTGCGCCCTCGTCTGCAGCGCAAAGCCGAGGCGGCCGTCCTCGCTCGCCAGCTCGCCGACCTCGAGCTCTGCCCGCGTGCGCTTCAAGACGACGTCGCGCCGTCCAAGAGCTCGTCGTCGTCGAAAACCTGAGCCCGACAACGCCATCGTCGGCCTTGCCGGCCGCAGGACTCGAGCGCGAGGGCCAGCCGCTCTCGTCGACTCGTTCCTCTTGCTCGAGCAGCGCTCGCGACCGCAGCCGCGATGACGGGAACGAGGTATCTTTGCAAAGGAACGGTACGGGGAGGTATTCAGTCGGTCGGTGTATACGGCGGCGCTCGCTGGACGAGCAGTGGGAGGGGAGGGTCGGTGCGGGGCGGCGGGTTCGAGATTTAGTACTCGCGGACGCGAAGGAGCGGTTCTGCAACGCGGTGTGTCAGTACCCGCACCACTCAGTGAAAGAGAGAGAGAGGGGCGCACCGGGATCTGCTGCGTCTGCCGACGTCGCCTCGTCGCCAATCAGCTCGCGCTCCTCCTCCTCCTCCAGCTCGTCGTCCTTCTCCGGCTCGGCCTCGAGCTCGGGCACATCCTCCTGCCTCTCCTCCTCCTCCTCGTCTTCTCCAAGCTCCCGCTCTTCTGCCGCCTCGCCCTCGCCGGCTCCCTCGGCCGCAGCCGCAGCCGCAGCCGCAGCTGCACGCTCCTCCTTGTCCCTCCTCGCCGCCTCGCGGCACCCGCACGCGCCCTCGCGCTCGAGCACCTTGAGCGCCGTCCTGCACGCCATCTGGCGCGCGACGGCCTTGGCCTCGCTCTCCTGCTTGGCGACGACCTGCTCGTGCGACGTGACGGTCGCGAGGAAGCGAGACGGGGCAACGGCGCCGCCGCGAGGGAGGGTGGGGACGATCGAGGTGGAAGGCTCGATGCGGATGACCCTGCGAGCGCAAGATTGCAGCATCAGATCGGGTGGAGGAGGGAGGAAGGAAAGGGAAAGACGAGGACGCACTTGATCGACAGCTGCGAGCACGCTTGGGCGTCCTTGAACTGAAGCAGCGTCGAGTACGGGTCGCGAACGCCCTCGAACCGCAGCGACGGCATGATGTCGCCGTAAAGCTTGTCGAGCACGGCAAAGACGGGCGCGAGCTCCATGTTGCTGTCGAGGAAAACGACGGCGACCAGGGCCTCGAAGACATCGCCGAGGACCTGCGCGGCGAGGCGAGAGTGGTCAGGCAGCCACTCGGGGTACGAGAGGTAGAGAAGGAGCAGGACGGACCTTTGGCGGCGACCACATGAAGGTCAACTCTCCGTCGGCGACCTCCTTCCACTCGAACGCCTCGGCCTTGACCGCCGCGTCCCGCATGGCCGCCTCGAGCGCCGGCGACGAGTGCAGGACCATCTTGTGCAGCGACAGCATGCGCACGGCGAGCGCCGAGATGACGCCGTTGCTGACGAGGAGCGCGCGAAGGAAGGTGAGGATCCGAGGAGGCGCGTGCGGAAAGCGCTCGACGAGTCGGGTCGTCGCCCACTGCAACAAAGACGGTAGTCAGTACCTCGGTCGGGTACGAGAAGAAGAGAGGGAGGACGAGGACGCACAGTGTCGAGAAGGGCGTCGCCGAGAAACTCCTCGCGCTCGTACGAGGACCCTTGCCCGACCCAGGACCGGTGCGTGAGCGCCTGCACGAGCAGCTGCCCCTGCGTCTTGACCTCGTACCCGAGCGCGGCCTCGAGCTGGCGGAACGCGGGACCTGCACGCTGCGGCGCGACGTCGAGGAGCTTGCGGGCCGAGGGCCGGTCGGGCCAAGGCGTCGGGCCGCCGAAGCACAGGCCGAGGCGGTCGCCGGTCTTGAGCGCCTTGTCGAAGGCGTCGACGGCGAGCTTGATCGTCGGCATGTTGGCGTCGGCCGTCGACGAGACGTTGCCGTCGAGGAGCGCGGCCCCGAGGGCCGCTTCGGCCGTGTCGCACAGGAGCCGACGCGACAGCTTGTTGGTCATCGTCAGGCCGTCGTCGCTCACCGTCGCGTTGACCGACTCCTCGGGGACGAACGTCGACGTGCGCAACGTGTGCGACAGGATGTGCTCGGCGAGGCCGCACTCGAGCGACCGCAGGCGGAGGAACCGATTGTCGACCGAGTTGTCGCGCCGGCGGCTGAGGCGGCCCTCGTCCACGAGCGGGTTCTCGAGGTACAGGTGGATCGTCGTAAAGAGCTTGAGGGGCGAGTCGCCGACGTGCTCGAGGCGCTGGTAGTCCCACCCGCACGCGCTCGAGGGCGCCGTCAGGGCCTCCTCAACGAGGGCGAGGTCGAGTGGCGGCAACGAGAAGCGGTCGATGAGCGCGCTCGCCGATGAGCGGCCAAGGAGGAGGTGGTTGAGGGACGGGACGAGGCTGAAGTCGAGGAAGAAGCTGGCGGGGAGGGTCGTCGTGAGGATCATGGACTCGGGGTAGTTGCGGGTCGAGGCCAGGTCCTTGTAGAGCGTCGGGACGCGTCGACTCGGCGGGACGAGGGCGTTGTGTGGGCGAAAGTCGGCTGGAACGAGCTGGATGATCGGCTCGGGCCCGTTGGTCGGCATCGAGTGGTCGTAGCAGACCTGGACGAACGACGGGTAGTGCGAGCTGCGAAAGACAATCACGTGTGAGCGATCCCGAGTGAACGCGAGAGGAAGAGAGGAGAGCGAGAGAGAGAGAGGGAGACGCACTACTTCTCGATGACCTTGCGCTTGCGCCGCGGCGGGTCGACCTCGACTTGCGCAGTTGGCGACCCAGTGTCGACGTCGTCGCGCACACAGTCGAACGAGCCGATGCGGACGTTTGCGCGGCGCGAGGGCGCGACGACGAGGTCGCCGCGACGGGTCGACGAGCCGTCGAACGGCGAGAAGGCGGCAGCGACGGCGGACCAGTCGAGCTCGCCAGATGCCGCGACAGGTGCCCACAGCGCGTAGAAGCGCTCGTTGTCGACGCGCCGGTTCAGGACGATCCGGGCGCAGATGCGGTTGAGGTTCTCGAGCTGGTCCAGGAGGTTCGAGCGCTCGAGCGCGTTGGCCCAGCGATGCTCGCGGACGGCGACGACGCGCATGCTCATCGCCGACCCGGCCCGGCCGTAGAGCTTGACGACGTCGACAGGGTGGAGCGGCGCGCCGCAGACGAGCGCGAGCCGCGTCGTCTCGGACGACCGAACAACCTCGACGACGTGGACGAACGCGCTCTCGCTGACGCGAGCGTCGCCAAACGGGTGCACGAGGTGGACGTCGAGGTGGCCGGGCATGTTTTGCGTCTCGATGCTGCGCCCGTCGGCGTCCTTGGCGTCCTTGCCCCTCGACTCGCGCACCGGGAGGAGGTGGTCGTCGAGCGCGCCCGCCTTGTGCAGGGCGATGGCGGCCTGGAAGCTGGCGTTCTGCTTGGCGGCCTTCTTGGACGGCATGACGAGCGACTCGAAGACGTTCGACAGGAGCGCGGGCGTCCTCGGGACGTGCAGCGTCGAGCGCCATGCCGTACCAAAGCCCTCGACGACGTACTCGGGATTTTGCAGCGTCGTGAAGATGTCGGTGCGCAGGAGCTGGCAGTACTGGGCGACGAGGGGGACGGCCGAGGCGTGCGTGAGGAGGGCGCCGCTCTGGGTCGTGTAGGTCGCGAGGCCGTCGAGGTCGGGCTCGTGCGAGTCGTCCGGCTCGTCGGGACGCTCGGCGTACATGTCGAGCAGCTCGCGCTCCTGCTTGACGTACGAGCGGTACTTGTCGGCGTCTGGCGAGCCCTTCTCGGCGAGGACGACGTAGCGAGCATTGGCGGCTCGAGCGCGGCCGCGCGACTGGACGTACCTGCGGCGAGTCTGGGCCAGTGAGCGCACCGTCTCACTGTCGCCGGAGCGGAATGGGAGAAAAAGTGAGAGGGAGACGCACCCGGTGATGGTCGTCAGGGCGTCGAACCGGATGACGAGGTGACACGAGGGGACGTCAAGACCCTCCTCGGCGACCCGGGTGGCGACGAGGAGGTTGATCTCGCTCGTCTTGAACGCCGCGACCGTCTCGTTCTGCTCCTTGACCGCCATGCCGATCTCCTTGGCCGTCGCGCCACCCTGCTCGCCAGGCCCACCTCGGCCGCCGTGACCGACGAGGGCGGCCGGCCGGACAAAGCCCTGCAGCGACGTCACGCGCCGGAGCAGCTCGGCGAGGACCGAGGCGTGATGCCGGGCTTGCACAAAGATGATCGCGTGGAATGTCGGCTCGAGCTTGAACTCGAGCAGGACCGAGACGAGGGCCGACATCTTGGGCGACAGCGCGGTGGACGACGGCTCGACAGGAGGTTTGAGCGGCGCGCCCAGGCTCGACAGTCCGACGTGCTCCTCGAGCAGCTGATACAGGAAGACGTCGACGCCGGCGCTGCCGAACAGGGCCTGCGCCTTGTTGAGCCGGTCGAGGGTGCGCTTGTCGGCCGAGGAGATGATCGAGAGCTGCTCAGGCGACAGGTGGCGTGCGGGCGTCGAAAGCTCCTGCGGTACCGGTGGATCGTGCTCGACGAGGAGCTCGGTCGCCCTCGGCGACGCTGCGGCCATCTCGGGGCGGTGCGCCTTGGCGACTTCGAGGATCCGGACGTCGAGAGTCGCCTCGAGGTTGCGGATGGCCTGCTGCGGGTTCTTGACGTTCCAGATCGGCGACGCCGTCAAGCCGAGGATGCGCGGTACGGGCTCGCCTCGCGCCTTGAGCGGGTGATAGTGATCGCGCATGATGAGGGCGTACGGGTGCGACTTCTGGGCGTGGTGCGCCTCGTCAAAGATGACGAGCTGGACGTCGCGCAGGTCGAAGTAGGCGTTTCTGAGAACATCGAGCCAGATTTGGGGCGTGAGGACGACGACGTCGGCCTCGTGGATGAGCAGTTGCTGCCACTTCTCGCGCTGCCAGTAGTCGACGCCTTGCGACCCGACGAGGCTCTGGACCCGCAGGCTCGTCTGCGCCTCGATGACGCGGGCCTGCTGGTCGACGAGGGTCGTGGTCGGCGTGAGGAAGACGATGAGGCGCTTCGGGTCGTCGTCTGGCGGCGTGCGACGTGCAGGTAAAGGCGCCGCGGCGAGCTGGCGCAGGGCGAGGACGGCGATGAGGGTCTTGCCGGACCCGGTGTCGGCGCGGACGAGGCTGCGTAGGAGCGCAAGGGTCAGCGACGGGCAGGAGCGGAGGAGGGTTGACAAGTAGAGTAGAGGCTCACACGTTCGACCGCAGAGCCTGCTCGGTGACCGCCTCCTGGAAGAGCCGCGGGACGAGGGAAGCCATGCTGCTCGATGACGAGGCCGCTCGTGCTGCTTGCCGCGGTGCTGCCTGCAAGGGGACCAGATTAGCTCTATACGGCGGTGATAGGAGGGCAGGGACGCACCGTTTGCTATATCGAGCGGTGTTGCGAGGGAGCTGAGCGGGCGGAGGTGGGCGAGGGCGACGAGAGGAAGTGCGGCGACGCGGCCCAGGGCGCAGGTGGGCAGACTGCTCGGTCGTGCACGAGAGGTGTACGGCAAGCTCGCAAGCCGGAATGCGAGTGCGCGAGGCGTAGGGGACGAGCGAACCGCCGCCTCTCGTTGGCGGGGAGATGGAGGAGCGGGGCGGTGCACAGGGTTGCGCACTCTCGTCGCTCACCCGCTGAAGCCTGCTCGTGGACACTCGACTGCACAGACGTATCGCAAGAGAATGCAGTCCGAGCCTGCCCGAGCGAGCGAGCTGGTCCTGCTTCTTGCTCTCGTCCTTCTCGAGCTCTCTGGCTTTGCGCCGCGACGACGAGATGCAGCGAGAACCTCGGTTGCACGACAGCGATAACGACGACGAAGGGATGCTAAGGAAGAAAGACGGGAACAGGGACAGGTGCGGGTCGGCGGCCGGAGCGTGCGCGACCTGCGGCGGCGGGAACGGGGCCGAGAGGGTCAGTGTCTGCGGGATACAGTGGGTAGAAGGGAGAGGAAAGAGAGGGACGCACAAAGTACAGGTACACGCTCACTCCTCGGAGCCAGAGAGCGGCCATGAGACGGCGAGGCGAGGGACGACGTCGACGGTGGCCCGACCCTCGCCCTCCTCCTCGTCGAGCTGCGCCGTCCAGACCGTCCACTCGTCGAGCGCGTCCTCGTAGTCGCGCAGGCCGAGGACGGCGTACGTGTGCAGGTGTCGCTCGTACCCGGCCTCGACGCTGTCGCGGTACCGCGCAGGGATGGGCGGCACGGGCTCCGAGCCGTGCGCCTCCTTGAGGAGGTCGAGCGCTGCCGGCGGGAGGATCGAGATGCGCTTCGAGAACCGCAGCGAGACGCGCGGCGACAGCGCCGCAGCAGGACCGCCAGGCTGGCGCGGGCGGATGGGCGCCGACGGGAACGCAGTGTCGCCGCTCGAGACCGAGGCGGCCGACAGGCCCGACGAGGCGACGGTCGGGTCGACGTCGGTGCGTGCGACGACTGCATTGTCGAAATCGAAGGCGAAGAAGGCCGGGTTGAGCGACCGACGGCGCTCTGCGCGGCCCGACTTGGGCCGAGGTCGCCGTCCGCTCGACGACGAGGACGCCGACGCACGAGCGTAGTACTGCGTCGGCGCATCAGGCGTGTGCGGGCCGCGAGATGCAGGCGTAGGGACACAGCCCGTCTCGACCGTTGTCGGGAGCGGCGCCGGGCCCTGGTGCTGGCGGTCGGTCGACGTGCTCGAGCGCGCCGGGTCGCTCTGCTCGACGAGGAACGGGTCGACGGGCGTGTCGTCGGACGAGATACGCGAGCCCTTGTCCTGCTTCTTGCCGAGCCCGCCCTTGAGCCACGAGACGACCTTGGCGACCGTCTTGAGGTCCTGCTTGCGGCCGCTCTTGACGGCGCCCTCGCCCTTGGACGGCGGCGTCGAGCGCACGAGCTCTTGCGCGTTGTCGTCCTCGTCGTCCGACTCCTCCTCGACGGCGCCACCAAGAGCGCCGACGGTCCAGGGCGCCTCGTTGACGCCACGCGTCGAGCAGATGGTCGAGCGCTTGGGCCGGAACAGCGTGCTGTCGTCGGCAAAGTTGGCCCTCGGCTCGAGCTCGTCGTGCCGCTTGCGCACCGCCTCGAGGCGGACGTTGAGGAGGCTGAACAGGGCGACGATGTCGGCGTCCGGGCGACGGTCCGGGTGCTGCTCTTGAGCGGCCTTGCCGAGGCGGGACAGGCGCCAGACGAGCTGCGCACGAGGAAGCGGATGAGCAGCTGCTCCACGAGTGGCTCGAGAAGGGGTGAAGGGGGAAAAGAGAAAAGAAGAAGTACCAGGCGGATCCAGTAGTTGCGCACGCTCGAGTTCCAGTGGAGCAGCAGCCGGCGGAACAGGTTCTCGTCGAGGATGACCTTCTCGCAGAGCTCGGTGCGGTGCGCCGGGCTCGTAGTGAAGCTGCACGAGAGGCGCGACGAGAGGGTGAGTGCTGCGCTCGTTGGGGTGCGACGGCCGTCGGACGCCGCCGTGAGGAGGAGGGAACTAGGGGACGCACGCGTCAAAGTTGGCGTAGACGAGCGCGATCGTGCGCATGATGGTGACCGTGTTGTCGGCTTGCTCGAGAATGACGCGGACGGTGCCGAACAGGAAAGGGAGGTCGAACAGGCGCAGGCTGCGCTCGTCGGGCAGGAGCGGGGCCTCCTCGTCGCCGCCGCAGTACGCGAGCTTGTACAGGAGGCTCTCGATGAGGTCGGCGACGAGGTACACGCCGCGGACGTCCCACAGCGACGTGCGCTTGACGCAGGCCCGGACCCAGACCTGGAGCATGCCGCCGAACACGTATCGCCGAGCGACGGCGTCGAGGGAGCGCTCCTCGGACGTGAGGGCGGACTCGGAGCCGCCGACGATCTCGACCAGGGTCGTGACGACACGGCGCTGCGCGTGCTCAAGGACCTTGGGCTTCTGCCCGAACGACAGGTTGGCCGAATCGTTCGTGTTGAAGTTGCTCGACGCCGGGCCCAGCGACGTGAAGGTGCGCAGGCTGCGGTGCACGAGCGAGTCGATCTTCTCGAGGAGCGAGGCCGCGAGGAACAGGTAGCCCGGCGCCGTGACGACGACCGAGGCCGGGAGGAAGTCGAGGTCGGCCGTGCTCGCGCGCAGGGATGAGGGGAGGAGATAGTCGGCGAGCTGGCGGTGGTAGGCGCGGTAGAAGTTGTACGACAGGTCCGAGTCGGACGCCTTCCAGCGGACGAGCCTGCGGGAAGCTTGACGTGAGCGCTTCGCGACGATGACGATGGCGACGACGACACCGACAGCTACGCCCGCCGTGACGACCCGACCGGGGGAAAGAGAGAGAGAGAGAGAGAGGCTCACCAGTTGCCCGTCATTTCGATCTTGATGTCGTCCTCGTCGATGAGGACGTCGACGGCGTCGGTCGGCCGGTTCGGCGACACGAGGAGCGCCGCGTAGGCTCGGTAGTCGCGCAAGCACAGGTTGGACAGGTGGACAGGGTAGGCACGCTCGTCGACCGGCGGCAAGTTGCTGCGCGAGGGCGAGAGGTGAGCTCTTGGTCTGCAGCCTGAGGGACGGCGCGACGCACTTCTCGTCGACGCCTGCCTCGCCCATGATGCGCCTCAGCCCTTGCTGCTTGACAGGCGGGAGCGCACGAAGAAGCTTGAGGGCGACGCCATCGATGCGGAAGAAGGCGAGCGCGAGGACCCGACTCGAGAAAGTGAGGATGTTGGCGTAGACGGCTGCGAGGCGGCGCAAGCTCGTGAGCTCCCGGGCGCCACAACGGCGACGACGACGAGAAGGGCGAGAGGCCACGCACCTTTGTGGTCGAGCTTCTCAACGGCGTAGCCGAGCATGTGCAAGAGGGACGAGCGGTAGCACCGCTGGCCCTCCGGGTCGTCCTCGAGCGCGCCGTACGAGACGAGGTGGCTGCACGGCGAGAGGGTCAGGACGTCGTCTCGACGCAGTGTAAGAGAGCTCGCGACGCACCTCTCGGCGAGCGCGGCAAGGCTCTCGAGGCAGGTACCGCGGTGCCGCTCTTGAACCTTCTCCAGCTCGGTCATGAGGACGTCCATCCTGCGGTCGATGCGGCGAGGCCATCAGTACCGACTCGACCAGACGGGAGAAGTAGAGAGAGAGAGTGTGAGAGGAGGACGCACCACCCGAACAGGACCCGGCGGTGGCGGCGCGAGAGCGAGTCGTGGGCCTTTGGGCTCGGCTTCTCCTCCTCGTGCCACAGGAACGGCAGGAGGACACCTTTCAGAATGGCGACCCGGTCGTGCGTCGGCGAGCAGTACCTGCGTGACGAGTAGTGTCAGGGACCGGGCTCAGACGAGGCAGGGAGCAGGCGCACGCACGCTTCAAGGGCGTCCTCGAGTTCGAGCCACGCGCGCGTCATGCGCTTCTCGAGCGGGACGACGCCCTGCTGCTGGACGGACGACCGTCGCCAGATCGGGACGACGGGCGGTGCTGGACGTGGAGGTGCAGGTGCGGGCGCGCTTGGTCGTGGCGCCGAGACGGGCTCGGTCGACGGGACGGGTGGGCGTGCCGGCATGGCGGGCGCCGATGCCGCCGCCGGCGCAAGAGGTCGTCGGCCTTTCAGGCTGTCGGAGCGAGCGAGTAGTCGAGGCGTCGAGGGTCGCAGCTCGGGGGCGGGCGCCTCGGGCGCAGGTTGCAGGACCGGGCTCGCCTCGGGCAGTCGAACGACGGCGGCGATCTCGATGGTCGTGTCGGCCTTGTCGCGCCTGGTCGAGTCGTCGTCGTCGTCGGGCGTGGACGTGCCCGAGGACACTGTCGAGGGCTGCGCCGACTCGACGGTGGACGGCTCGGCCGACGGCGAGGCGGTCGAGATGTCGGCGCCCGGGCTCGAGACGGCGAGGGACGACAGCTTGGCGGTCGCGAGGCTCTGCGAGAGGACGAGCGCCAGGGTCAGGACAGGGGGGAGAGGGACGAGGAAAGAGAGAGCGGGGGACGCACGATCAGGTTGTCGGTGCTCGGCCTCCTCGCGACCGCCACACGGTCCTTGAGCAGGTCGAAGCTCCTCCTCGCGCCCTGGTTGAGCGGCCGCTGCGCATCAGGTGCGGCGGTCGGCCCGTCGTCGGCGCGCTCCTTCCCGCCGCCCCGGCCGCTCGTGAGCAGGTCGTCGCTCCTGCGGCCCGACGGCAGGCTCATGCCGAGGATCTTCTTGGGTGCGCTCGTCGCGGCGCCGTGTCCGTCTGCGCTCGCGGTACCGACGCCGAGCAGGCTCGAGAAGGAGCCGCGACGGCGCCCCATACGACGTGCAGGCGCCGGCTCGTCCGAGTGGTCGCGCACCGGCATCGTCCACGACTCGGGGTGTGCGGCCGGCGCGGTCGGCCTCGGCGCGATGCCCTTGGTGAGACGATCGACGAGGCGACGGCCGAACGGCGCGGACGAGGCGACGGGCGCGGACGACGACGTCTCGGTGCGGGTGCGGCCCGACGAGGCTGGCGCGCCGTCGGCGTGGTAGCTGCCGTGGTCGAGCGAGGATCGGCGCGAGGCGTGCGTGTCGGACGTGCGGAGCGACGAGATCGAGGGCTTGCGGTCGTGCTGCTGCGACGGCCGCCGAGTCGTCGTCGCCGAGATGAGCTGGAAGTTGGGGTTCCTCGTGCGCGCGTCGGACGATGACGACGAGGACGCGCCGCGGTTGCGGAGCTTGGACAGCTGCCGCGTGAGGCCCTTGTTGGCGGCGTCGACCGCCGTGCCGAACGAGCGCTTGGTCGGCGAGTCGGGCGGCGCCGGCGACGGCCCGGTCGGGATCCGAGGCGAGTCCTGCGCGCTAGGCGCGGACGAGTTGCCGCCGGCCGGGGTAGGCGGGAGCGACTTGTCGAGCGACAGCTCGCCGAAGGGTGGGAAGAGGGAGGACGAGGCAGGGTCGAAGTGAGGGGCGGACGAGGTCGAGGGAGGATGAGGCGGAGCGGGCGAGGAGCTGGTCGAGGTCGCGGTCGGGACGTCGCCCGAGGCGTCGCGCGAGGTGGAGGACGTCGAGAACTCGATCGGCTGGCCCGTCGGCGCGACGGGAGGAAGGATGGGCGGCGCCAGCTGGACCTTGCCGGCGAGCAGTGGGCCGTCGCCCTCGAGCGCCTTGCTGCCGCCGGACGGCACGTCGCCGCCGTGCCCGCTCTGGCTGAACGAGCCGAACGAAAGTAGGCTCGCGAGGCTCTTCCTCCTGCGCCGCTTCGGCCGCGGGCTCGAGCCCGGCGCGCCGCCGTTCAGGCCCATCGAGAACACCGACCCGCCGCTCACGCTCGCACTGCGCCCACTCGCCGCCGTGCTCTCGATCGAGCTGACCGAGGCGTGCCCTCGCGGCGCCCTCCTCCCGACCTCGCCCTCGGTCCCGGCGAAGCTGCTGCTGGACGACGCGCGCGGCGGCACCTCGGCGGCGAGCGGGCGGTGCGGCGGCAGCGCGCGCTCGATCTCGAGCTCGAGCTCGAGCTGGAGGTCGACCTTGGGCGGCTCCTTGCGAGGCGTGGCGCGCCCGTTGACGCTCGTCGTGCCGGGAAGGCTCAGGAACCCGCTCGTGCCGCCGCTGCTCGCCGCCGACGCCGTGCGCGTGTGCGGGACCGACTCGGCCGCGCTCGCCGACACGGTCGGCTGCGCGAGTGCAGGCGACGGCGCCGGCTCGGTGCGGGCGGGCGCCTGGCCGCTTGCGGACGTCCTCGAGGCGGAAACCGAGGACGCTTGGTCGACGCCGACGCTCGGGCCCAGCTTGAGGAGGTCGCTCAGGCCGAACATCGTCTCGGTGGTGCCGAACGACGAGCCAAAGTCGAAGTTGAAGTCGAGGAGCGGGGCGGGCGGGCCCGAGTCGAGGGAGGGCCGAGCGGACGTGGCCGTCGTCGACGCCCGCGTCGAAGCCGAGAGCGCCGTAGGCCCGATCGAGTCGAACGACCCGCCCTTGGACGACGAGAACCCGCTCGTCGTCGTGCCCGACCCGCTCGGGCGGTGGTGCTGCACGGCGGCGAACCGACCATGGAGCGGCGCGCTCGACGGGCCCGCCCCGAACGCGAAAGGTGCCCTCGACGAGGCGGACGTCGCGGCGCTGTCGAGCCACGCCTGCGAGTCGGGCGTGCGCGGTCGAGGGCGGTCGAGGACGCTGCGCTTGGCGGGACGCTCCTCCACCTTCTCGGGCGCCGGCGGGACCGACTCGTCGGGGCCGGCCGTCGCCCGCACTGAACGCGAAGACGCTCGAGCTCTCGGGCGTTCTGGGCCGCGCATCGGGCGTGCAAGGCCTGCTCCTCGCCGACCCAGCACCGGCGCCGTTCTCGCCGAACCGGAAAAGTGCGGCCGAGTCGGGCGTCTTGGGCCGAGGGCGGTCGAGCAGGCTCGTCTTCTGCGTCGACGACGGTGCCGATGGCGTGGGCGTGACGGTCCCGCTGCCGCCGCCGCCGCTCGAGGCAAAGCTGCTCCGGTGGACGGTCGGCGAGGGGGACCGGGACGGCGCGAGGGAATAGACGCTGCCGTTCGGGTCGGAGGTGCGAGGGCGAGGAAGGTCGAGGGTGGAGGTGTAGCCGGAGCGGGTGCTCGGCGACGGGGAAGGCGAGCGCTCGCGCGTGGGAGCGGTCGAGCCGAGGGTCGGGGTCGTGGCGTGGGGCGAGGGCGGATGGAGCGAGGCGGATCGACTCGACGCGACGGGTGGAGGGTAGTAGCTCGGCGAGGGCGACCTCGCGTGCGGCGACGAGTCGCCGTTGGCGCCCGCGGCTCGACCTTCGGCGCTGAGCGAGGTCGACATGGCCGAGCTGCGGCGCTGCGGCGTGAGGGACGATCGCGGCGCCGGTGGACGAGAGCTCGTCTTGATCGCGACGCGCTGTCGCACGCCGAACTGGTTCGGGAGGAACACGGCGGCCGTCTCGCCCGCGGCCCCGTCCAGCGGCAGCGCCGAGCCCGCACTGCCGCATCGCGGTATGGACGGCACAGGCGACAGGTCACGGCGCACGTAGGCCTGCTGGCCCTGCTGCTGTACGGGTGCGCCGAGCATCGGCGTGCCCTGCGCCGACGTGCTGCCGCCGTCGTGCGGGACGTAGTGCGACGCGGGAGCGGCGTGCTGCACGTTCCCTCGGCCGTTGACGAAGGTCGAGGGAGGAGCCGAGCGCTGCCACGAGCGCGACGGCGTCATGGCGGACGAGGACAGGTCGGACTGGCCGCTCGAGGAGGAAGCGCGCGACATGGAGGTTGCCGTCGACGCCGAGGGGAGCGAGGTCGTGGAGCTCGACATGGCGGAAGTTGGCGACAGTCTGCGGACAAGTAGAGAGGTCAGTATGGGCGCTGTGTGCACTCTCCGGCTCGCCTTCTCGTTCTGGGCGGCGACTCACCCTCGGCTGAGAGTGGCAAGCTCCAGAAGGTGCAGCAAGCCCCGTCACGCGCTCTGGCTTGCACGAGGCTGCGCCGTGCACCGAGTGCTGCTAGACGGCGCCCTGCGACGGCTGAACGGGCCCGAGGTGCGCGAGGTGCCGGGTTCGGGGCGTGAGCGGGTTGGCGGTCGGTCGTCGGCGGGGAGGAGGACGACGGCTGAGGGCTGTCGCGGTCGGATGCTGGCGGAGCGCGCGAGCTCGTGTTGGCCAATTCGAGCGGGCCTAGGTGCTGGCAGTGGTCGCGCGAGGCGTAGGGCGACGCGTGGAGATGATCGTCGTCGGAGGAGGACGAGGAGGGCGAGGCGCTCGGCGTGAGGCGCGCGGCTGTAGGGCGACTGCTGGGCTGTGGTCGGGCTGCACGCGGCGGCACTGCAGCCTTGCAGGCGAGGTGGTCGAGGTGCAGAGGCGAGGGCGCCGCCCTCTCGCGCCCCGCTCGTCCGCGGCCAGCTGGTCTCACCATCGTGTCGCTCGCGCTCGCCGGCTTTCGTAGACTGTCAAAGCAGGAGCACTGTGCTCACTCGGCGAGAGGACTCTCGGCGAAATTGGAAGAGAAGGAAGGAACGACGAGAGTGCGATGCGAGCGACGAGGAGGGACAGATAGGAGAACGGCGACTGCGACTAAAGGGAGACGAAGGGATACACAGTGAGAGGGAGGGAGAGAGAAAGATAGAGCGAGAACGAGGGGGGAAGGGAGGGGGGAAAGGAGGGCTCAAGCGCCGAGGTTGGACGGCGTCGACGGCTTGTGCGCCCGGCTGAGCTCGTCGGCTGCCATGATGCTGCAGTGCCGGCAAAAGAGTCAATGAGGATGCGCCGCGACCAAGGACAGCGGAAGAGAGACGCACCGCCACAAGCTCGTCGAGGTGAATTTCCAGCTCGGGTCGAGCGAGATGAGGAAAGGGTCGTGCTTGGCCTCGACAGCGGTCGGGCGAGCGTCGGCCTCGCTGCGAGACGGATGCAGAGGCGTGAGTGCGTGGACTGGAGAAAGGGGCGGCGGGAGGGGAGACGCACATCTGCAGGCACGCGCTCACAAACTGCTCGGCCTCGTACGAGATCTGCACGTCGTGCGGCAGCGGCGGACGCATGCGCTCGGCGCCAAGCTGGATGGTCGAGAAGGTCAGTCACTGCTACTCAAGCAGACAGGAGAGAGGGCGAGACGAGAGCCGGACGGACCTTGAACATGGCGCTCATGAAGCCCTCGCCCTCCCACGGCCGCGAGCCGGCGAGCATTTCAATGCAGATGCACCCGAGCGACCAGATGTCGGCCTTGGCCGAGTAGCCCTGCTTGTTGTTGTGGATGACTGCGAGGAAGGGAGCGTCCGGGGGAGAGGGTCAGGTCGGGGCCCGAGCGCGAGGGAGGGAAGGAGGGGGAGGGACGAGAGAGGGGACGCACCCTCGGGCGCCATCCAGAAGATCGAGCCCTGCATGCTCATGTTCTCGTTGTTCTGGTAGATGTCGCCGCTCTTCTTCGACGTGCCAAAGTCCGAGATCTTGCACATGCCGTCCTGGTCGATGAGGATGTTGTCCGCCTTCATGTCGCGGTGGAGGATGCCGAGCGAGTGCAGGTACTCGAGGCCGTCGAGGATCTGGAGCGTGAAGAACTTGATGACGTTTTCCTCGAACTGCGAGCCGGCGAGGGCGCGCGCGAAGATGGGGTCAGGTCGACTCGGGACGGGGGGAGAGGGAGAGAAAGAGGGCGGCGCACCTTGCCATGGGTGCGGATGATGCGGCCGATAGATCCACCGGGCACGTACTCGAGGAAGATCGAGAGAAACTCGGGCGTCTGCTCCATGCCGAGGTACAGGACGATGTTGGGGTGGTCGAGGTCCTTGAGGAGCTCGATCTCGGCCTTGAGGCTCGAGATCATGCCCTTGGTGCGCTGGTCCTCCTTGTCCGAGAACGAGCGCGGCATCTCGACCTGCTTGACAGCGATCGTCTCGCCCGTCGTGACGCTGAGCGCGATGTAAACGTGGCCGTACGTCCCTCGCCCGATCAGGTCGCCCTTGATCCACTTGTACGAGACTGCGACACGTGCTCACGAGATGTCAGAGGCGGCATACAGACGCTCGAGGTCGGAGGAGGGGCAGAAGGAGAGAGAGGGACAGGGACGCACAGTTTTCCGGGTCCTCGTCGCTCGCCTGCTTGATGGCGCCGATCTGCTTCATCTGGGCGCTCGTCACCTCCTCGATCCTCGCGCCGAACAGCTTGGTGCTCTTGCGACGCAGCAGGTTGCTCGCGAGGCCCGACGCCGCCCTCGCCACGTTGGTGCCCGCCTTCTGCAGCATGCGCTTGCGGTCCTGCGCGACGACGCGGATCGACTTGCGGTAGCCGAGATGCGCAGCTCGCCGAGACGCGAGCGTGCTCGGCGTCACCGCCGAGGACGGCGGCGGGACGTCGCGAATGGGCGACGACGAGCTGGTCGGCGGCGTGCCCGGACCCGGCGTCGGCGCGTCGAACACGGGCTTGTCGAGGTCGTGCTCGGGGAAGAAGACGTCGAGGTGGTCGAGGACGGTCTCGACCGGCGGGCGGAAGGCCCAGTCCTGGTCGTGCTCGCGAGCGGCGAACGAGTTGCGGCGGGCGAAGGGCGAGGTCGGTACGCGGACGAGGTCGTCAAGTCGAGGGTGCGGCGCCCTCGCCTTGTGCGCGTTGACGTCTGCGACGGGCGTGCCGCCCCTGCCTGCGAGGTCGAGGCGCTCGAGGGCCCCGGCGAACGAGGCGTCGCCCTCGCCGTTTGCGCTCGCCGATCGTCGACCGTGCGCGCCGACGGGCGGCATGCTCGGCATGGGCGTCGTCGACTGAGGCGGCGTCGGCGTGTCGATCTTGAGGCGCAGGCTCGGCCGGCTGCCGAGCGAGCTGGCCCGCCCGAGCGGCGACGGGACGCTCGGGCCGTGTCCAGGAAAGAAGGTCGACTCGTCCTCGACGTCGTCGCCGAACTCGTCGACGACCTTGGGCGTCGAAGCCGCCGACGCCGGCGCAGAAGGAGCGACAGGCCGCAGCGTGCCCGTCCCTGCGCCGGCGAGCAACGTACCGTCCTCGCCGCCCGCCAGCGCGCCCGTGCCGGCGCCGAACCGGCTCAGGATCGTCTGCGTCCAGTCCTGCGCGTCCGGGACCGAGTCGCGCTGGTCGGACGAGCCGCCGGCCGAGCGAGGGACCGCTCCGCTGCCGCTGGCGGGCGTCGGTCCGCCCGACCCGCCGTCGCTCGTCGACGACGCGCTCGTCTGGCGCCGCATGGGCGACGACGTCGTACCGTACGACGACGGCGCCGGTACGGCGGTGGTAGGCACGGCGATGACGGCGGGCGGAGCCGAGGCAGACGGGGGAGGAGGGGTGGGAGCTGCCGAGCGAGGCGGGAACGAGGGGAGGGAGGGCTGGTTGACGGGGAACCAGGTGCTGCTGTCCTCGTCGATGGCGTCGCCGAACTCGTCGACGAGCTTGGGCGTGGCGGACGGGGTCGACCGAGGCTGCGGGTTCGAGGGCGGCTGCGAAGGAGCTTGTGGTGCGAGGGGAGCGAGGGCGCTCGTCGCCGACTGGTTCACAGGGAACCATGTACTCGTCTCCTCGCCGATCGGGTCGCCGAACTCGTCGAGTAGGCGCGGTGCGGGCGCCTGAGGCGGCGGCCGGACCGACCCCACACGTGGCGCGGTCGACGAGGTGAGTGACAGCTGGACCGGCTGTTGGCCGACGGGGAACCACGTGCTCGTCTCCTCGTCGAGCGGGTCGCCGAACTCGTCGACGAGCTTGAGCGCCGCAGGGGGCGCCGGGAGCGGCGACGAGTCGCTCGCGGGCGTGAGCGGCGCGCTCGCGCTCGACGGGGGGCTCGTGCTCGTGCTCGTGCTCGCGCTCCGCCGCTGCGGCGGCGTCAACGCCGCGGACGGGAGCCGGTCGTCGACAGCGAGCCCGTCGTACGCGCCGTCGTCGTCGATAAAGGCGGGCGCGCTCGGCTCAGGCGCAGGGCTCGTTGTGCCCACGAGGTTGTCGACCGTCTCGGCCCTGCGACGCTGCCCGTCCTGCGGGTGGGCCGACCCGCCGCTCGACGACGCCATGTCCTGCATCGTCGCCGGTCTCGCGCCGGCCGGCCCTGGCACAGGCTGGCTGTGCGCTTGCTCGAGGACGGGTCGGCGCGGTACAGGCGGGCCTCGAGCTGCGGCCGACGCGGCGTGTTGCGCCTGGACGGGCGCCGAGTAGAAGGCCGAGGCCGAGGAAGGTACGGGCGTCGATGGCGGGGACGACGCGGTCGAGGCCGAGAGGTCGTGGGGGTAGACGGGAGGCTGAGGAGGCTGAGGAGGTGGATGCGGCGGCTGCGGCGGCTGGTATTGCCGAGACCCGGCCGCGCCAGGGTGGCCCGACGGGCCTGGAGCAGGGCGGAACGCCGAGGAGGCGTGCATGGCCGGGCTCGCCTGCGGCGGTGCGCCCGGAAACCCTCCCGGCGGCCCGGGCGAGCGCAGGTTGTCGACGCTCCTGGACGCCATGCGGCCCGCCTGCTGTACGGCGAGCGTCGCTGCACGAGGCGGAAGGTTGGCCGACGACGACGACGAGCCGGCGTTGACGTACTCGACCGAGCTGAACTGGTTCTGGAGCGACAGGTTGTGGTACGGGCTCTGGCCGGCGGGCAGCGGCAGGTTGCGGTACGGCTGCGAGCCGTACTGCGGGAGGTTGGCGCGCGGGTCGGGGCCGCCTCGGGAGGTCGAGGTCGGGCCGTGAGCGTGGGACGAGGTCGGCGGTCGGGCGATCGGGACCGTGATCTGCTTGTGCGGCGCCTGGACGGGGCGTTGCCAGCCCGGCGACGAGACAGCCGAGCCCGGCACCGTCTGCGCGCGATGCACGTCCTGGTGAGGCGGCTGCGGCTGCGGCGGGAGGCGGCGAGTCGGGCCCGACGGGCCCATGACGACCTGCGGCGGCTGCGCCTGGTACTGCTGGGCGCGCTGCGGCTGAGGCTGGTACGAGCCCGCACCGGCGTTCGGGTTGGGCGACGACTGGGCCGAGCGTGGTTGAGGCGGATGCGGCACCGGGACGTGAAAGTAGTCGTCCGGGGACGTCTTGAGGGGGCCGCTCGAGCCCGACACGGTGCGGAACCCGGTCGAGCCGGCGATTGGCGACGCGCCCGAGATGGGCGGGCTCATCTGGCCGAGCGACTGGGGCGAGGCGACGACGCGCGAGCTCTCGACCGACGAGGCCGACGTCTGCCGCGAGCCGTGGTGGCTCCCGCCGCTCCCGGACGGCCAGCGCGCGTGGTCGCTGCGCAAGCCGCCACCTTCTCGCCGTGCGCCGAACTCGTCCAGGTCGCCAACGAGCGACGGGCTGCGGTGCCGCGCCGTCGGGCTGCTGCCCCTCCTGCTGCCGCTCGTCTCCCGCTCGCGCTGCTCGCGCTCTCGCCGCCCGAGCCCGCTCGCGTACTCGGCCGCGCTGCGGCCCGTCTCCGGCGACGCATTGTCGCGACGCGGGACGACCTCCTTGACGAACACGGTCACCTGCGGGCCCTCGCCGGCCGCGCTCTGGCGGACGGCGTCCCACAGCTCGGCGTCGCTCGTCGGGCGACCCTCGCCGGCGCCGATGCGCGTGAGGTGGAACGCGTGTCGCGGTGCGTCCTCGTCGGCGATGTGCAGCCGCGACAGGACGAGGTCGCGAATGGCGGCGGCGGACGAGACGGAGCCGAGAGGGACGACGACGAGCGACTCGAGGTCGCTCGTCGCCGTGCAGAAGGCGCCGGGCGGAAGGGACGTCGGCGAGTTGGGCGAGGGGGCGGACGGCGAGCGAGAGCTCCTTTCCCGTGAGGGAGAGTATCGAGCAGGGAGAGGAGGGGCCGACGCGGGTGGAGGTGGAGGGGAGTAGGGCGACATGCGGGGCGGAAGGGGCGGTAGAGGCGAGCTGTTGCGCCCTTGCGACGCTGATGCGGGCGATAGAGGCTGCGGAGAGGCGGCGGGAGCAGTCAGTGCGTCGGCTCGTGCGAGCGAACGAGAGGAAAGAGCGAGGGCGCACCGATGACCCTTCTCTCCTGCGGTACCCTTGGGCGCCTCGCTCATCGTGCGCCACCGACGTCGAGCCGGTGTACGGCGGGTCCTGCCACCGCTGCGAGGTGCCCGACGCGCTCCTCCACCGCTCGTCGGCGCCTGGAGGCGGGGGCGGCTGCGGCCGGAACCCGCTTGCCGCGCCGTGGCCGAGCGAGGGCGAGCCCGCATGTGGGCTATAGGGCGAGTACATGGTGGGCGCCGGCGGCGAACCGGGCGAGAAGTTGCGCGGCGGGCTCGGCAGTTGCGGCGAGGGGAGCGGTCGGACGGCTTGTGCGGGATGATACGAGCCGGGAGGTCGAGAAGGATGGGACGGTGGTGGCGAGCGGTAGCGGTCGTCGGGGCCGTGCATGACGGCGTCGGCAGCGCCTGTGAGGGAGAGCGATGAGCGCCTCGAGCGGGGGAAGAAGGGGAGCGAGAGAAAGGCGAGGGACGCACCAGAGGTTGATCGCAGAGGTCTGGGCGGGTCCACGCGTACGACTGGGTGCGCTGGTGGTGCTCAAGCTGCCGTGCGGGTGCCACGCCGCGAGATGCTCGGGAGCAGATGAGCCGCTTGACGCAAGAGGTCGACGACGACGGGCGCGACCGCGTCGAGGCTGGCGGGGACGGTGCTGGTTGCGGTTGTGCGCTCTGTGCTCGGGCAGCAGTGCCAGTACTCGGGAGCTCGGCGGGTGGAAGAGGGCGCGAGTCTTGAACCCGATCAGGGTCAGCGGTGTCGCGGCGGCGGCTCATCGTCGAGCGACACGAGGGCAGTGCTGAGCGGGTGCAGGCTTCGTCTACGTATCACTCGGCCACGGGTCCAGCCGGCCTGAACACTCGCTGTCGACGCGAGCCCTCCTCCTCGTCGCGCTCTCGCCGCCGCTCTCGCTTCTCCACCTCTCGCGCCCTCGCCTCTGCGCCGCGCAGTGCACAGCGACGATGCCCGACATGAAGGAGGCCCGCCTGCTCGGCACCCCCGTGCAGCGCAACGCCCCTCGCGCCGCCTCCCCTCTCAACCAGTCGCAGTCGGTCAACGAGGTGCGTCGGCCAGCTTTCCGCCTCTCGGTCGCTCCCCGAGCTCGTGCGCAGACTCGCAGGACTGACTAACCCACACCGATGCACGCGCAGCCCGCCTCGCCAACCCTCTCGACCACTTCCCGCCAGCCCTCAGCCTCCTCGGCGCCTCAACGACCACAGCCCTCCGCCGCCGACCTCAAGGCCGCCGCTGCCGCCGCCATCGCCCGCACGAGGATCCAGGCCGATCCGAGCATCTCGAGCGCGTTCAGGAGGGAGGACGACGAGGAGCTGTGGTCGCTGTTCACTCGGTGAGCGGCGAGCGAGGAGGGAGCTTGGGGTCGGGCGGGCGTGTTGGCAGTGTGCCTCGAGGAGTGTTGTAACACGTGCTTTCTGTGCTCATCAGTCGAGACTTGCGATGGATTCGAGCGCGAGCGACGACGAGCGAGAGACGCAAGGCTTGCTTCCTCTCGAGAGGACGACAGAGGGAGCGGCCAGGCTGCGACTGAGAGGCTTCTATTGCGACATCTACAGACTTGCCCGCATACGACGCGCCTAACGGCTCGAGCCGACGCTGCGCCGCCCTCGGCGCCCTCGACCCGTCGTCCATCCGCCGGACCCGCTCGCGCCGCTCGTCGCTCACTCGAGCCGCACGACCTCGACCTCGACCCAGTTCTCGTACACCTGGCCCTTGCGCAACAGCGTGTCGGCCTCCCAGCTCCTGCCCTTCTTGCCCTCGTCGAGGTTGACGCCCTGCGCCTCGGCGCGCTCGCGCATCCACCGCGCGAGCTCTGGCCGCTCGCCCTCGCCGCTGTGGGCGCCCGCAGCGTGCACGACGGCGCCGACGGGCGCCTGAAACTCGAGGAACACGAGCGAGTCGGCGCCGTAGCCGTCGCCCTTGCTCGTCGCGCGGTCCTTGGCCGCACTCGCCGCGCCGTCCTTGTCGGCGTCTCGTGCGGGCCCGCCGTGCGCCTCCTTGCGGACCGGGCCCGTGCCGTCGAGCCCGGGCGCGGTGTACACCTGGACGGACGACTGATTCGACGTGAACCGGAGCGAGAGGTGCGACGAGGGCGAGGTGAGGATCGCTTGAGGGGTGGTCGGGAGGCGGGGCGACCACTGCGACGATTCGGACGTCGGCTGGTCGAGGGGCGACGGCTGAAGCGAGCTCGAGGGGTGCGAGAAGAGGAAGTTGCGGTCTGTGCAGCGGCGCGGGAGAGAAAGAGTCAGGGCCGTGCTCCCTCGAGCTCAACGGACGAAGCGCTAGGACTCGTCGCGACGCACCGACGCCGCCCTCGGGGTACTTGTCGCCGATCTTTCTGTGCGGACCCTCGCGCCCTTGCGAGAAAAAGTCGAGCGGCGAGCCCTCCTTGACGGGCTCGAGCGCGCCGGTCGACAGGCCCGAATCGTCGAGCGCTGCGAGCTTGTTCGACTGCGAGAGGTGACGGCGATGACGAGGGCGAGAGAGGAAGAGAGCAAAGAGTCAGTATCGTGAGGCTATGCTGAGAGAGGAGAGAGACAGGGCGACGCACGTCGAGCCAGAGGTGGTGGCCGAGGACGTCCTTATCGTTGCCGTCGTCGAGGCGGAAGCCCCAGTGGACGGTGAGGTTGACGGGCGTGCCCTTGGCAATGTCGTCGTCGCCGTCCTCGCGGATCTTGGCCCTCAGGACGACCTTGACCTTGCCGAGGCTCGTGCCCTGCTTGTCCTCGGCCGTCGTGTGGGCGCCGTCGCGCTTGACGGGCGCGAGGACGACGACGAGGGCCTCGACCTCGAGCGAGCACGGGAAGCCCTCGGCGCCGGCGGGCGAGTACAGGCGGTGCAGGGTCGACGACTCGGAGACGGGCTCGTTCGGGTCGGACGGCGGGGGCGGCACCGGGTGGTCTGGGTCGTCCTGGGCGAACAGAAGCGACTGGGAGCGCTCGACTGGGGCCCACGGGAGCGTGTCGAACGCAGCCTCGCCGCCGTGGAGGCAGACGCCGGCGGCGCCGGGGAGGTGGAGCTTGGCGCCGGTCGAGAGGAGGGTCTCGCCCGAGGGGAGGCGGTTGGCGTAGCGGCCGACGACGGCGTTGAGGAAGGCGCGATTCGAGATCGAGTGGTGGTAGACGTCGGCGTCGCGGAAGCCGGCGAGGACGTCGGTCTTGTGGTCGACGACGAGCGACGTGATGTGGTGGCCGTAGGGGAGGACGGTGGTCGACAGGTGCGGGGTGTCGAGGGTGACCTGGTCCGACTCGTTCGACATTGTGGCGTGCGGCTTTGGGCGAGTACGAGCTGCGGACGGAGGTCGAGAGTGAGGTGAGCGTGCGTCACTGGAACCGAAGGAGAAGAGGGAGGGGGGCGTACGAGAACGAGGCAGCGGGACGGGGTACGGGTGCAGGCGATGAAGGACGCGGTACGGTCGAGTGTGCGAGCTACTCAGCTAGCGAGTGCGAGCTGTGCCGAGAGTGAGGAGCACGAGCGAGAGAGAGAGTGGGGGAGTCGGCACCGCTCCCTCTCTCGCACTCTACCGCCTGCTCCGACCCAGGCCGTGTGCCCGCCAACCTGCTCAGTCGTCCATAGCTGGGCCACCGCAGACACGCCCGCGCCACCTCGCCGACGTCCCTCCATCCACCCGACCTCATCTTCATCTTATTCTGCCTGTCGCCCGCTCCACACGCCCTCGACTGGCCTGCTTCCCCTCGGTACGTCCACTGTATCCCTGTACAAGCCCGCCGACGCTCACCGTACAACCACAGCAGCTGTCCCTCGACCGCGCCACCCCACACGCACCCCCCCTCGTTCCACCTCACTTGTCATCTCGAGGGCCGCCAAGCGCGACTCGCAGCGCTCCCCCACCATGCACTCGGGCGGCACGAGCATCGCCAGCCGCACGCCCATGCCGCCAGCCTTCACCACCCCGCCTCGACCGACCACCTTTCGGAGCCTCAACCTTGATCCGCCTCCCCACGCGTCCACCTCGCACACGAGCACGCCTGCACCCACGCCCTCTACCTCTTCCAGCCGTCACTCGATGCTCTCCGTCGTCGAGGCCGACTCGCCGCATCAGCGTCGCGTCCCGTCGACCTCGGCCGCCGCCACGCTCCGCAGCGGGCGTCCTCACTCGACCGCCTTCAACCGCCGCCCGACCAGCATGTACGGCAAGGTCAGCTCGCTGCAGCCGGGCGCGAGCGAGCTGTTGAGCACCGAGGCCGCCGCCGCAGGCGCGTTCGCACCGACCCACGTCGGGTCGACCCAGGTGGACGCGCTCGTCGACGGCCTGCGACGCACAGGTGTCGCTCGCCGCGCCGTCGACGCCGAGGACAACGTTGTACCGCGTCCCCGTCGCACGGAGGACTCGGCCGCGCCGAGCGAGTGGAGCTCTCTCGGCAGCGGTCGCCGCGCCGTCGTTGGGCGCAGGTCGCCGTCCTCCTCGCCGCACCACTCGCGCGAGGCGAGCTCGGCCTCGGACACGTCGTTCGCGAGCCTCGACGCGGTACCGACGCCCGCGCAGCTCGCCGCGCCGCTGTTCCCCCCGTCGGGCGAGCCAGGGTACGGCGGCGAGGACGTGACGGGCGCGCCGAGCATGGCGCGGCAGGAGACGCTCAAGGCGATCGACCGGCCGTGGATGACGAGCACGGCGATTGCGAGGGGAGATGGGCCGAGAACGCCGGAGCAGCTGCGCCGGGCGTACCGCGAGGGGACGAGCCCCGAGCCGAGGCGGCCCAGCGGCGAGGGCGGCGTCGCGGGTTTCGGCGACGACGGCCCGAGCCCTCGTCGACGGGCGACAACGCCGCCGCCAGGAGGAGGCCTGCTCGAGACGCCGAGGACGCCGCCGGGCGGTATCCGCCGGCTGTCGCTCGTCCCCTCGCCGGGCCTCTCCCCTCGCTCGACCCGCCGAGCTCTTCCGCCCCTCGACCCACCTCTCCTTCCCTCTTCTCCCTCTGATGCGGCTCCTCAACCTCATCCACCCTCACCCTCGCCTCCACGTCTCCTCGCCTACGTCCCCTTCCCGGCCTCGTCACCTGCCGCGTCCCTCGCCGTGCCCGACTCGAGCACGCCCTCTCGCGCCAAGTCGATCGAGGAGATCATCGCGCTGCATGCCCCTCCAGCCTACCTCTCGACACGACGAGCGTCGGCGTCATCCAGTCCGCCGCCGTCGTCAGGGTCGCCGGGCGCCGGCCCTGCTGTGCCCGCCGTCGGTCGCGCGCGCGAGGTGAGCGCCGCATCCGCCTCGTCGACGGCCGGCAGGAGCAGCGTCGACTCGCTCGACGTCGAGCTGCGCGGCGCGGCCGTCCCTCGAGGGCTCGTCACCGGGCGGCAGGCGGCGTCGTCCTCGAGCGCTGCGGCCCGGCCGTCCGGCCTCGTCTCGCCCAGCGCACTCGCGTCCGACGTCACGAGTCCATCTCGCGACACCGCCTCGTCGATCCAGTCGCCCGAGCAGCACGCCTCCTCGCCGTCCTCGGCCGCTCCCGTCCACGCCCTCGAGAGCGAGCGCGAGCTCGCGCGCCTCCTCAAGTCGCCCCGCCTCACGCGCCTGTTCACGCTTCGACGACCGCCCAACGCCGGCCTCACCGTCTCGCTCGCCGACGTCGGGTCCCCGACTGGCCACCCGGTCCTCGTCTTCCTCGGCCTCAACGCCGTCCGGTACCTCGTCGCCCCGTACGACGAGCTCGCCGACGCGCTCGGTCTGCGCCTCATCTGCGTCGACCGGTGGGGGCTCGGTCGCACGGGCGAGGTCCCCGCCGGTACGCAGCGCGGCTTCGTCGAGTGGGCGAGCGTCGTCGCCGAGCTCGTCTCGCCCGCGCACCTCGCCCTCGACGGCCCGTTCTCGGTCCTCGCGCACTCGGCCGGTGCGCCGTACGCCGTCGCGGCAGCGCTCCACGGCGAGCTCGTCGGGCGCGTGAGCGGGCCGCTGCACCTCCTCGCGCCCTGGGTCTCGAGCGCGGCCGACTCGCTCGCCGGGCCGTACCGGTACCTCAAGCACGTCCCGTCGTCGGTCCTCAAGGCGGCGCAGGCCGCCGAGTGGAAGGTGCAGGGCTGGCGGCTCGGCAAGCCGCCGTCTCTCGAGCTCGCGCCGGTCGGGTGGGACGCGCGCACGGGCCGCCTCATGAACGGCGACGAGCTCGAGAGCGCCGAGGAGCGCAGGAGCGCCGAAGCAGGACACGGCGTCGCGCTCCTCAACGGCGGCTCGCCGACCAACGCGCGCAAGCTCGAGCTCCTGTACCCCGACGGGCGGCTCATCCGAGCCGGGCCCTCTGCGACGCCGCCGCCGCTCTCGTCGTCCGCCCCGTCCTCGGCGTCGAAGAGCAAAGGGCTCAAGTCGGGCTGGGGCGGCCTGTTCGGCGGCGGCGGGCTCGGCTCGCCCAAGCGTTCACCGGGCAACGAGAGCGCCGACCCGCTCGAGGCGACGACGTCGCCGGGCAGCCGTCGGTCATTCCTGTCGCCCTCGCCCTCGTCGACGAGTCGACGAGCGTCGTTCTTCGGCGGCTCGGCCCGTTCCTCGCCGCCGCCGTCGTCGTCCGAGACGACCGGGTCCGCCTCGCAGCGCAAGCTCGCCCCGAGCGGCCTCCCCGCAGCCCCGTCTCGCCGCTTGTCCCTCTTCTCCTTGTCGCCCTCACCATCACCGACGACACCATCCTTTCGCCGACCCTCGCTCACGCCCTCAGCCGCGTCGACCTCGTCGCACCGTCCCGGCACCCCGTCCGACGCCCCTCGCCGCGACCGCCTCCCTTCTGTCGCCTCGACGCACTCGCAATCGTCGGGCGCCGTCACGTCAGTGTCGGCAGGTCGTGAGCGCAGCACGATCCCGCCCGCAGCGCTCATCGACGGCCTCCTTCGCGCCTCGCACGCCGAGTCGTCCTCGAGCGGCGCCACGGCCGACCTGCTCGTCCTCCTCGAGCGTGCCTCGCCCGCCACCGCCGCCGGCGCATCGAGCGGCATGGGCTTTGCGTACGGCGACGTGCCGCACCGGTGCAAGGTGTGGGCGGGCGACCGGGACGACCGCATCTCGCTCGCGAGCGTGCGGTGGCTCGAGCGGGAACTCGATCGCGGCCTGGCGGGCGCAGGGGCGGGGCCGAGGGACAAGGGGTGCGAGGTCAGGGTCGTCGAGGGGGCGGATCACTCGTTAATGGCTAGTGAGTCGGCGCTCGTTCCTCCTCTGTCGCCGTCGGGCGCACGAGCGGCCTCGAGGGACTCTCTGCGCTCGTGCTGGCGCTTGACCTAGGGACTGACATGTCCTCTCTCCTGCCACAGACAGCGGCGTCATGCTCGAGGTGCTCGAGAGCCTCGCCGCCGCGGCGCCTCGTGGCTGAACTGCGCCGACATCGCCCATCGTCCTTCCCGCCTCGACGACCAGCTGCGACCCTCGAGCGTCACCGTCTACGTCCACCGACCAGAGCTGCAGCGCCGTCGTCCTCGACCTCGCCGCCGCGTCGTCGTCGCCCGCCAGAAGCCGCGCACGGTCCGGCGTCGTCGTCCTCGTGGCGCCGCACGACTTGCGGTAGCTGCTCTCGTGCAACTCGAGCGCGTCCTCACGGCCTCTCTGTGTCCCTTCCGAGAGTCGCATGGCGTGGTCGTGCTCGGGAGAGGAAGCGACGAAGGTAGCGACGAGGAGGAGCGACGGCGGCGGGGCCACGGCTGTCTCTGACCAAGATCCGCGGTCCGCAGAGGGGTCAGGGCCAATGGAAGCGTCTGCAAAGGAGAGCCTGCGAGTGATCAGGTCGGCTTTTTGGGTTCGACGCAGCGGGCGGTGCTCTCGCCCCTCTCCTTCTCTCTCTCGACCTCTCAGCTCGCGCTCGCACGGCTGCAGCACTGCCCGCCTCGGCCACTCTCGACTCGATCCATGTCTGCCCCGTCTGAACCCGTCGCCGACAGCACCGCGCGCGGCGCTGGAGCTGCCGTCGCCCTCCCCTCGCGCTCGAAGCGCGCCCAGGACGGCTCGGCGGCCCCCGTGTGGTCGCTCCAGGGTGCCGGCAGCACTACTGAGGTCCCTCTCGGTGCGTCCCAGCTCTCTCCAGCCCTCGTCAGGTGCGAGAGCGCCAGCTGACACATCTCCGCCCCCCGCCACTTTCTGCTCGCCCTGCCCGCCGCGCCCACGCTCGCCCCTGTGCCGTCTACGAGCAGCGGCCAAGTGCGACCTGCACAACCGCGAGCGCACCGTCTGCTGCCGGGACCTCAAGGGCGACGACGAGCGGCACCTCATCAACCCGGACATCGTTCGAGACTGCATCATGTGCGTCCCCTCTCGCCTCTCGTGCTCCCAGTACCCGTGCGACGTACTGACTGAGTCCCTCTCTTGCCCCTCCCACCTGCAGTGGTCTCGCCGATGGTGCGTCGCCGTCCACCTTTCACCCCCGAACCCTCCCATTCGGCCTGTCGATCCTCCTGCAGACCTTGCCCCGAAGCTTCCGTAGCGCAGTCGAGCTCACCTGCCCACTCCCACAGGCCTCACCGTCCCGTTCGCCCTCACCGCCGGCCTGTCGTCGCTCGGGTCGTCCCGCCTCGTCTACACGGCCGGCATCGCCGAGCTCGTGTCCGGCGCGCTCAGCATGGGCGTCGGCGGGTACCTGTCGGCACAAGCCGAACGTGACCACTACCGCTACCTGAGGAAGAACACGCGGGTGCGTCTGCGTCGTTCCTCAACTCGCCCTGCCCCTTAGCCCGTTCCGACCTTGCCCTCCCCTCCTTGCAGGAGCGCGTTCTTCGTTCTTGCGCCGGCGAGATGGAGCGCGAGGTCAACGCCATCCTGTCGCCCCTCGGCGTCGACGCCGCCTTGTCGCGCCGCGTCGCCGGCGCCCTCCTGTCGGTCGAGGCGAGCCTTCCCCCTCCCGAAGCGCCCCCCTCGATCGTCCGCCAGTGCCTCAACGTCGTCGCTCGTCGCCCGCGCTTCTCCAGCGGCGACTCGAGCGACCCGGAGCGGCGGCGTCTCCTGCCGACCTCGTCGGCATCGAGCAAGGGCGAGGACGAGGACGAGGACGACAAGGGCTTGACGGCCTTCCTCCTCAAGTTCGGCGAGGGCCTCGAGGAGACGACCGACGCACGCCTCTTCATCTCGGCGTTCACGATCGGCATCTCGTACCTGCTCGGCGGTCTCGTCCCGCTCCTGGTGCGTCCCCCTCTCGCTCCTCTCTGTGCCTCGAGCGGACACTCACCTCGAACCCTCTTCTGCAGCCGTACTTCTTCATCGACATGGCTTTCGACGCGCTCATGGTGTCGATCGCCATCACGAGCGTCGTCCTGCTCGTCTTTGGCATCTTCAAGACGTACTTTACCGGTGCCGCGATCGGTGTTTCGGGTGCGCCGCACTCTCTCCCTCTCGAGCCTCTTCCTCGTCGCAAACAGAGTCTGACTCGCCCTTTCACCTGCACAGGCTACACGTACGGCGCCATCTCGACGCTCCTCGTCGGCGCGTTCGCCGCGGGCGCGTCCTTCCTCATCGTCTCGGCGCTCGAGGGCGCCGGGTCCAAGTGAGCGCAACCTCGTCTCCCGCCTTTTCATACCTCTCACCTCGCCCTCGCACACGCACCCTCATTCGCTCTCTCTCGGTCTAGACGCGTCCCCTCTTTGTGTAGTTCTCTCTTGGCGCGCCTGTAGCAACACGAGTCGGTCGGCTCTCTCTCTCTCCTCGCTCGCTCGGGCTCGACAGAGAGAGGTCCAAAGATGCGACGGTGTTACAGGAAGGCAGTAGAGACAAGGCACACAACCCGGAGAAAGGAAGAACGAGAGACCGCCCCTGCGCACGCCCCGCCTCTCACATGTCGACGTCGTCGTCGCCGGCCTCGCGCTTCTTCTGGTTGAGGAAGGCGCCAAAGTCGTACGAGTCGGTGACGCGGCCCTTGATCGTCTGGGCCTTGCGCGGCCCGCTCGGGAGCTCGACGTCGTCGCCAAACTCGCGCGTCGCCTGCTTGACCTCGTCGCGCAGCTTGGCCGACTGCTTCGCGAGCTTCTTCTTGTCCTTCTTGGCGTCGCGCTTGGCCTTCTTGTTGACCGACACGGCGCCGGCCTCCTCGGCGATCTGCGCCTTGTTGGTCGTCGCCGCGCTCGGCGCCGACGCGTCCGGCGCGAGAGTCGAGCCCGTGGGCCCGAGCGGCGCCGACGAGAACGACACCGACTTGGACTGCTTCTTCTTCTTGGACGGCGGCGCGACCGAGATGATTTGGCTCGCCGCACGCGACGACGACGCACCGGGCGCGGCGCGCTTGCCCTTGACGCCCGTCGGCGCCGGGGCAGGCTCGTCCTCGCTCATCTCGTCGTCCTCCTCGAGCTCCTCGTCGTCGTCTTCGAGCGCCTCGTCGTCGTCGACGAGGTCGCCGAGGTCGAGGTCGTCCTCGTCCATGACGGCCGGCTGCTCGTCCTCGACAGCCCAGCCGACGTCGGCGTCGTCGGTCTCGACGCCCAGGGCGCCCTCGCGCATCTTGACCGCCTTGCCGCCGGCGAGCCCACTGCCCGCCGTGCCCTCGCCGCCGGCAGCGAACGCGACGGCGTCGGCCTCGCCAAAGAGGGCGCCGAGGTCGAACGCGGGCGCGAACGCGGCGTGCAGGCTCGCGCCGCCGACGTCGTCCTCGGCGACGGTGCCGACGTTGCTCGCCTCGGGCGCGGCGGCGAGCTTGAGCTGCTCGGTCTGAGCGGCCGTCGGCGGCGCCGTGTAGTAGGCGATGCGGCCGGCGACCCAGTCGCGCAGGATCGAGCGCGCCGTGCCGTCGAGGTCGGGAACGCCGCCCTTGCGGAGCCGGCCCTTGGCGCGAGCGACGGCGAGGAGGAAGGCCGTCGTGTCGTTGGCCGGGAAGTGCGGGATGTTGTAGAGCATCTGGAGGTGCGTAGGCGAGCAGCGCTCGAGGATGGCGGCGACTGCGGGCGAGGAGAGAGGTCAGTCTCGGGCACAGGAGCGTGTGCGAGACTCGAGAATGAGAGAGAAAGGGAGGACGGACCAGGACCCTTGGCGTCGTTGACCGACTCGGGCTTGATCATGCCCTTGAGGGCGGCCTCAATCTCGCCGCGCGCCTCGACGACGACGCCGGGGCAGTCGAGGACGCGGACGCCCTTCTCGAGGACGACCTCCTGCACCTCCTTGGTCCAGCCCGGGGTCGGGGCGACGCTGCACGCCTTGCTGCGCTTGAGCGTGTTGATCAAGGACGACTTGCCGACGTTGGGGTGGCCGACGAGGCCGATCGTGAGCGACTGCTTGACGGGTGCGGCCGAGGTCGAGCCCTCGCCCGGGTTGGTCGGGTGGTGGCGGAAGCCCTTGATGAGCTCCATGAGGGGCTTGGTCGACGAGCCCGAGGCCGACTGCGGGGTGGCCGACGACGAGGCCGACAGGTGGTTGCGCTGCTGCTGGGTCGACGACTTGAACGGGATGGTGGGCGCCTGGAGGCGCAAGTGGGCGAGCCACTGCTGGACGACCTGGGGCGGGACGAGGTCGATCTTGTTGAGGACGAGGACGAGCTTCTTGCGGCCGCCGTCGAGGCTCTTGAGCTCGCGCTCGACGGCGCGGCAGCGGGTGCCGACCGGGTCGCGCGCGTCGAGGACCTCGATGACGATGTCGCTCATCTCGAGGACCTTGCGGAGGCTCTTGGCGTGGAGCTTGAGCGACGCGTCCTGGACCTGCTTCTCGACGTCGTCGTCGTCGACCATGTCGTCGTCGTCCTCGTCGCGCTCGGCGTCGGCGGCGAGGGCAGCGGCGAGGGCGGCGGTCGAGGCGAGGGTGGCGGATGCGCCGCCCTGGCGAGCGGCCTCGCGACGCTGGAGCTTCTCCTCCTCGACGCGGGCCTTCTCGGCCTGGGCCTCGGCGAGGAGCTGGTCCTTGTATGGGAAGCTGTTGGGGATACCGAGCTCCTTGGGCTTGTCTGTGGGTGGTTGCAGAGAGGTCAGGGCTGCACGAGGGCGAGGGAGAGAGGGAGAGGTGTGGACGGACTGCTCTTCCAGGTGGGGTCGGTCTTTGCGTGCTTCTTCTGCTTGCGGTGCGACTCTGCGACCTTGTGCTTGATCTTGGCGCGCATGCGGGTGGGCACGCGGTTGGACGTCTCTGCACGAGGGGGGGCGAGTGGGGTCAGCTCGATGTGGCTGTGCGGCGAGGAGGAGGAGAGGGAGGGAGGGGGAGCGCACTCTTGCGGATCTTGACCATGGCGGGCGAGTCAGTGGTGGTGGGTGTGGTCGAGGTAGCGACTGGCCCGTTGCCTGGGCACTAGGGGAGAGTAGAGCGAGAGAGCGAGGAGGGACGCGAACCAGCCCAAGCTCGGCCAGGTCCGCTTCATCAGCTCGACCGCGTCAACTCGTCCTCGTCGTCGCCCTACCCCTTTGCTGGAGCTTCAAGCGAGCCCACTATGAGCGCCAACCAGGTCAGCTCCCACTCCCTCCCCCTCTCTCGCCTCGTCGACACCGCGTCCACCTCCCCCGCTCACCTCGCACCCTCACCCGCCGCAGGCCATGCTCCACCTCAACCGCCAGCTGTCGGGCATGTCGTACCGCAACCGCAACAACAACCTCAGCCTCAACCAATCCTCGCCCCTCGCCACCGCAGATGACTCGACCCCGGTCGCCGGTCCCTCGTCGTCCACCGACAACACCGCCCCCTCAGCCTCGACCTCGTCCGCCGCTCCCGCTCCCGCATCCCCACTCGCACCAGCACCCGCACCTGTCAAGCGCAAGCTCCGCCCCTCGACCTCGTCGCGCGACCCGGCCACCCCAAAGCGCTCACGCCCCGCAGCCGGCTCGTCGTCCAACCCGACCCACGCCCCGCCGACAACCCGCCTCGCCGACCTCGGCGGGGTCGACGCCTGCGTCGAGCAGATGCTCGAACTCGTCGCCCTCCCGCTCATGCACCCCGAGGTCTACCTCCACACGGGCGTCCGCCCCCCGCGCGGCGTCCTCCTCGTCGGCCCGCCAGGCTGCGGCAAGACGATGCTCGCCGGCGCTATCGCAGGAGTGCGTCTCTCGCTCTCGACCATGTCTCGTACAGGCCTCTCACTGACCCTCTCTGTCTCGCTCACAGGAACTCGGCCTCCCGTTCATCTCAATCTCGGCGCCCTCGGTCGTGTCGGGCATGTCGGGCGAGTCGGAAAAGACGCTCCGCGAGACGTTCGAGGAGGCGGCCCGCCAGGCGCCCTGCATCCTCTTCATCGACGAAATCGACGCCATCACGCCCAAGCGCGAGACGGCCCAGCGCGAGATGGAGCGCCGCATCGTCGCCCAGCTCTTGACCTGCATGGACGACCTCGCGTGGGACAAGACGGACGGCAAGCCCGTCATGGTCATCAGTGCCACCAACCGCCCCGACTCGCTCGACCCGGCCCTGCGCCGCGCCGGCCGCTTCGACGCCGAGATCACCATGGGCGTCCCGGACGAGGCCGGCCGCGAGCGCATCCTGCGCGTCCTCATGGGCAAGCTGCGCCTGTCGGGCGACTTTGACTACGCCCTCCTCGCCAAGGGCACGCCGGGCTACGTCGGCGCCGACCTGAGCGCCCTCACGGGCGCCGCCGGCGTCATCGCCGTCAAGCGCATCTTTGAGCAGTTCGGGCCCGACGGCGCCGCCGCGCTCTTGCCCGAGCTCGCGACGGGCGAGGGCGCTCTCGGCCTCCTCCAGGCGGCGAGCGGCGAGGACGCAGAGATGGCCGGCGTCGAGGCGGTCCAGCAGGACGCCGAGCCGGCCATCGTCGACGACTCGTCGGCGCTCTCGTCGGCGGCACCGACGCCGGGCACCGTCACGCCGAGCGAGGACGCTCCTCCTCCATCCGCATCATCAGGCGACGGTACCCTCGCCGCCGTCCCCTCGCTCCCCTTTTCGACCCTCCCTCCTTCCCTCGCCGCCCTCCCGATCGCCTCGTTCCTGCGCGCCCACCCGACGTCCCTCACGCCCGACCAGCTGTCGTCCATCGCCTTGACCAACGCCGACTTTGTGCGCGCCCTCACCATCGTCCAGCCCTCGTCGCAGCGCGAGGGCTTCACGACCGTGCCCGACGTCACCTGGGACGACCTCGGCGCCCTGTCGGCCGTGCGCGACGAGATGCGCATGAGCATCGTGCGCCCGATCCGCCGCCCAGACGTGTTCCGCCTCCTCGGCCTCAACGCGCCGTGCGGCGTCCTCCTGTGGGGCCCGCCCGGGTGCGGCAAGACGCTCCTCGCAAAGGCCGTCGCCAACGAGAGCCGGGCCAACTTTATCAGCGTCAAGGGCCCCGAGTTGCTCAACAAGGTGCGCCCGCCTCTCGCTCTCTCGCCCTCTCGAGACGGTCCTTGACATCGCTTCCTTTTTTCTCTCCGTCGCGCAGTACGTCGGCGAGTCGGAGCGCGCCGTGCGCCAGGTCTTTGCCCGCGCTCGTGCGTCGAGCCCGTGCATCATCTTCTTCGACGAGTTGGACGCCATGGTGCCTCGGCGCGACGACAGCCTCGTGCGTCCCATCCTCCTCCCCCTCGTCCCCCTTCCCTCTCTCGCGCACACTCACTCACGCTGCGGACGCACACCCTCCTCTCTCGCAGTCTGAGTCGTCGGCCCGCATCGTCAACACGCTCCTCACCGAGCTCGACGGCCTCGAGCCCCGCAAGCAGGTCTTTGTCATCGGCGCCACCAACCGTCCCGACATCCTCGACCCGGCCATGTGCCGCCCCGGCCGCCTCGACAAGCTCCTGTACGTCGACCTGCCCACGCCCGCCGAGCGCGTCGAGATCCTCGGCGCGTGCGCCCGCAAGACGCCCCTCGCGAGCGACGTCGACCTCGTCCAGGTCGCGCACCACCCGCGCGCCGAGGGCCTGAGCGGCGCCGACCTCGCCGCGCTCGTGCGCGAGGCGGCCACGAGCGCCGTCAAGGAGCTCTTTGCCGCGCTCGACCTCGACCTCGACGGCCCCGCGCTCGGCTCGAGCGCCGGCGGCCCGCTCGGCGCCGGCGCGACCCAGGCCCAGCTCGAGGCGCGCGTCGAGATGCGCCATTTCGCCGCCGCGCTTGAGCGCGCCAACCCGAGCGTGTCGAGGCAGCAGCGCAGGCGGTTCGAGACGCTCCGCAGGAGGTTTGCCGGGCAGCCGGTCGGGCACCGAGGGGAGGAGGGCGAGGCGGCGGGAGCCGGCGGGAACGACGGGCTCGAGGGCGGTGAGGCGGCGGGGCCGGCGCCGGCGCCAGCTGTCGTCGAGCACTAGACGGTGGCAGCTGTAGTACGTCGACGAGGTAGATGCGCAACACTGCGCGAGTCCTTCCCAGCGCACGTGTGAGAGCGAGCCGGGCGAGATTCACTCTGCGCAGCTTGGCCTCGTCGAGCTGGTAAGACGGGGTGCGCGGTACGACACAGCTTCCTGTGTGTCTGGCTTGGGGACGGGCGACACTCGCAGCCCTCGAGCGCGGGACAGAGAGAGGCCCGTGCACTATCGTCCGCTCCTTCTTCCAGCCTCCTGAGCTTCTCGCTGTCGCTTTAAGCTGTGCGGGGGTGCTCTCGCATGCCCCACGCACAGTCGAAGAGGTCGGCGACCCTGTCGTCGTTGCTTCTGAGCTGCATCGTTGCACACGCTGCCTCTTCGTGCGGCGAGCTTTCCCGCCTGCGTCGCTTTCCCTTTGCTCGTCGCAGCGCACCTCCAGCTCGATCTTGACGTGTGCGACGACTGAAAGAAGCTTTGCGTAGCCCGAGCGAGGCATATGGGCGAGCTGGAGCCGTTCTCTCGAGAAGGGCGGACTTGAGAAGGTCGCGAAGAGAGCCTGCGAGCGCTCTCGAGAGGACCGGCGACGTCGAACTGGGATCCACGACACGACTCGAGTGAGCGCACAACAGGAGAGTGCAAAGAGAGTGGGCGTAGAACAACAGGGAGGTGCAAAGAACGTCCTCCTGCACGGCCGCTCGGTTCTCCTCCTCTTCTCGCGTCGCCGCCGTCCCGCCTCGCCTTCTCCTGTCCTCTCAACGGACGTAGGCCCCGCACGAACGACGGCAAGGACCGTACTCGACCTTGAGCCCCCAGAAGGTCCCGCGCTCCTCGCAGGTGACCGTCCGCCTTCCGTGGCTCGAGGACCGAGGAGGGTGGGGAGGTCGAGGGCAGGTAGTGGTGGTGCCCGCCCAGTCGCGAAGAGCAGGTTCTGCATAGCTGTCGCGTAACGAGCGAGAGCGGACGCCGCGGGAAGGGAGAAGTCGAACTTGGTCGCAGGATGAGGCCGTTCCACATCGGAAACTTCGATTCTGGGTTCCGCATAGCCACGAGCGGCTCTCGTGCTCGTCAGAGGGGACGCAGTAACTCACAGCAGTGTCCACAGGAGCTCTGACCGTTCGGAAAGGTGAGACGAAGCGCGAGCGTCGTCCGCACGCTGGCCGCGGACCTTCCGCCGTCCCGGACTGGCCGCTCAGAGCACTTTCGCGACAGCATCTGCCGCGAGGGAATGCGGACAGCAAAAGGGCGGACACGCCCATCTGTTCTCTCGCTTGCCGCAGTCGACGAAGCCGCCGTTCCGCATGACTGCTCTCTCGCCGTCTCTCGCGAAAACCGAAAGCGAGAGGATCGAGAAAAGGCCGCTCGTTGCACTCAGTGGTACGAAAAGCTCCGTGAGCGCCTCCTGCGTCGTCCCGCACCCGTTGCACCACGCGCCGTCCTTGTCGAACAGGCGCCGTCGTCCGGGAGCGGGTCGGAGCGGGCGAACTTGAAGCCCGGGTGGGGCGGCGACGCAGCGGTGCAACGCGGCAGGGCGGGTCGAAGACGCACAGACGATGAAGGCGATCGAGGGGCTGTGCGGCTCGAGCAGTAGGCGGATGCGGCCGAGGGAGAGGGAGGGGGGAAGGAGGGAAGGAGAGGAGGGGGGAAGGAGGGAAGGAGAGGAGGGCGAGGGGAAGACCTGCGGCACGGGGCAGGGCAAGGTCGTCAGGGCATCGTCGTCAATCGGACCGTACACGAGGGACACTTGGCTCACCTGGCCAACCTCGACGACGACGCCGCACCGGCAGCGCGGCCTTCTTCGAGCGCGAGGGCAGGAGGGCGGAGGCGAGAGGCGACCACTCGGGCGGCGGCAAGGCTGGTGGAGCTGCCTCGCTGAACACAGCGGTGTGCTGGAGAGCGGGATTGCCTCCTCGCGACGAGGGCGAGCAGTGCGAGAGCGCCAGAGACGACGACGAGCGATGAACATTCGGCGCCTCGTCTCGCTGCCCCACCTCCCGCAAGAGCCGCACTGCTGGGCCTGAGCACCTCGAGACTACTCTGCCGACCCATCCACCGCGCTACCGCTTGCGCCCGCGACCCACGAGCCACCCGCCCCCACCGCCCCCGCCTCCTCCTCGACTCGACCAGTCGCCTGCGACCATGGCCAAGCGCGGTCGCGACCCGATGGACGACCCCAAATCCGGGCCGTCCAAGAACGCCCTGCGCGGCCTGTCCTACGTCGACCAGAAGCCGTCCTTCTTGCGCAACATCGGCGCAGCTCTCTCGGGCCAGGCGCCGAGCTCGAGGCCACCGGTCCCGACTCGGCCAGGCGGCAGCGATGACGAGGCGGGATACAGCGACGACGAGCTCGACGGCGCGACCGTCGTCGTCCTCAAGGAGGGCAAGCACATCGACCAGGACGAGGTCGACCGGTTGCGAGCTCACGGTGCGTCTCTCTTTCTCGAGCCTCGTCTTGCGCACCCACGAGAGTCGGTCGGGCCAACTCACGTCTCCTTTCGCGCGCAGCCAAGGCGAACGACGCCCCCGACCCGTTCGCCGCCGGCGCCGCCGAACCCGAGCGGGCAAAGAGCAGCGGCTCGCTCTCGTTCTCGACCGGCGCCAAGGGCGCAAAGGGCAAGAGCGTGTCGGGAGCAGGGCAGGGCGACTGGGCGGACGCCGTCAAGAGGTCGCAGGAGGACGAGGGAGAAGGGGTGGGCGCGGGCAAGGGCGCCGGAGCGGGAGCGAGCAAGGCGGCATTGGCGGCCAAGACGGCCGAGGACACGGCGCGAGACGCCGAGAAGGAGCTCAAGCGCAAGAAGAAGGAGAAGAAGAAGGCCAAGGAGAAGATCGGCAAGCTGTCGTTCGGCGAGGACGAGTGAACCCTGCAATCGTCTTTGTGATCCTCCCTCTCTCTCTCGCTCTCGTTCTCTTCGACGGCGAGCTCGACACGCAGATAGACGGGGCACTGCTTCATTGCGAGAGAGGTGGGCATAGAGCCTGGCGGCAAATCGGTATCGAGTGAGGGGCATGAGGATGAGGGGAGGGTTGGGGCGAAACGAGGCGCGGCGAGCGACAAAAGAGAGGGGGCTGTACAGGGTGCCGCTGCCGAGAGAGAGAGAGAGAGAGAGCCCAAGCTCATGATGCGAGAGAAAGGGAGGGCACGAGCGCGCAAGCCTACGCGCTCGCCTGGGTGGTACCGTCACCGCGAGCCTTGGACTTGGCGCTGCCGCCGAGCATCGACGAGTTGCTCTTGTCGCCGGCGGCGTTGATGGCCGCGAGCTTCTTCGAGCGCTGCTCCTGCTGGATATCGCGCCAGTTGGGCGCGACGCTGACGAACGAGCCGCGCGAGCCGTGGCGAGGGTGGTCGGGAGGGTGAGCTGCGTGCGCGAGGGAGGACCGTGAGTTTCGGGCCGCGAGTGAGACGATCCGAGAGATAGAGAGAGAGGTCGAGACGTACCGTCGATGGTGATGCGGATCGAGCCGTCCTTGTTGCGGCGAGCGTGGACGCAGTCGAGGCTGGGCACTGCGACGCAAGGACGAGCCGGTCAGCGACGGCGGAGGAAAAGTGCAAGGGAGCGAGGACGGACCGATGTAGTGAGCGCCCTGCGTGTTGATCTTCTCGACCGGGTGGCTCGTGCAGATGGCGATCGTGCGCGCGCCCGAGGCGACGCCCGCCTTGATGCCCGACGGCGAGTCCTCGAAGACGAGGCACTTCTCGATGGGAATGCCGAGCTCTTTGGCGGCGAGGAGGAACGGCGCCGGGTCGGGCTTGCCCGCCGTCAGGCGAGGGTCGTCGGCCGTGATGGTGACCTTGGGGCGCTTGATGCCGGCACGAGCGAGAGCGCCGTGGCAGTCTGCGGGCAAGCAGACCCTGGGGGGTCATGGAATAGTCAT